TTATTTTTTTTTTTTGCTTTTTTTAAGGGTGAAGATGTCAACCGGACATTGGAAGGTGGGAGGAAACCCCTTCACTATGCAGCAGATTGTGGACAGCTTGAGATTCTGGAATTTCTGCTATTAAAAGGAGCTGATATCAATGTATGTAGTCAAATTACAGGTGCACAATAAACTGATTTTTTTTTTTTTCTTTTTTTCTTTTTTCCTGCCATATAATAATCTTGGAGTTCTGTAGCCATGGTGGCTCTGGAAATGTATGAAGCTGAGTTTCTGTGGTATCTTTTATTGGACTAACTGTATAGCTGGGAGAGAAGTATGATAAGCTTTCAGGCATAAAGCACTTTTCTTCATGCCTGAGGAGCTTAATCTGTTGTTTTCTCTCAGATCTGAAGAAGGATGCATTATACCCAGAAGCTTATCAGACTTTTTCTTTCCCAACTATACAGTTAGACTAACAAAAGATATCACAAAAAACTTTTTTTGTTTTGTGTAATTGGTTAATGTAAATATGGAAAAGACTTTGTCAGACTGAGGCTGATGTCTCAAATGAACTGTCCGTGGGCTTTTTTGCAATAGTGGCACCACAAAACTGGAATTTTCTTAAACCCAGCTATTTTAGAGAGAAGATGAGCCAAGAAAGTTTTCCTCAAAATTAGCAGTCTGCAACAGTTACTGTTTGGCATTATTATAAGTCCCAATTTTTTTTTTCCTTCTAGCTTGTTGAAATATCATAAAATTTCAGGGGGATTAAAAACTTGGCTTACTTCATTGTAATAAACATTGAAATGAATAGGATGAAGAATTTTAATATTATTAACTTGTACATTAAATAAAATGTCCCTTTCTCACTTTTTTTTTAAGGCTCCGGATAAACATAATATCACACCACTCCTATCTGCAGTCTATGAGGGCCATGTTTCCTGTGTGAAATTGCTCCTCTCAAAGGTGAGACATGCGTTTACCCACCCCTTGATCTTACGATGACTTAACTATTAATAGAGATATGGTACTTTGACTTTGGTCAAATATAAGTGGGTTCAAAATGAGTGAGTAATTCATGTAATCGGACCACAAACTGTTAACCTCAGGATTGTTGTTCTTGAGCAGAAAAAATTTAAAAACATTTGAATAGGACATTGTGGAATAAGAAATCATCTGCAAACTAGACTGTTAGGTACGGCTTAAATAGGAATGCAGATTCTTATTTCATTACCTGGGCTAGCTTTTGTGACATCTTTGTTCCTATCAGTTCTTTGCTTGCATGCCTTGTTATACTCCCCACCTCCTCCATCCTGCTTTCCCCCTTATTGATTGTAATTACTCAATCCACTTTTTATACTGTGCTCTGTTCTGTCCTTTCACAGCATCTGATGAAGTGAACTTGGGTTCACAAAAGCTTGTGTACATGCTTGGTCACTCTCATAGTATGTGTGTCAGTTTATAAAGGAACATATTGACTTTGTCACTGGCTATTCTTCACTTATATAGAAAATGGGGCAGAAGGTACTTGAGGGATTCAAGAATGTGGCAAGCCATGCTAGTAGTTGAGTGGCACTGAGCAGGTATGACCTGCCAAATGGAGATAACCCATAGTTAGTTTGGCAAACCACTCATCAAACCAGTTATTGATGCCTGCACTGTGGTCTTGCCAGATATTAGGTGACATGATCTCTTGCAAAGTTGAAGTAAAGGTTGGGTAGATGGGTACCTTTATAAGCTAACTGAATAAGATATGTGTATAGGGAGCATAAACTTTCCTGAGCTCTAGCTCACTTCATCAGATGCTGTGAAAGAGCAGCATGGAACAGTATATAAAGAAGAATGAGTGATTTGAATACAAAGTAGGGAGAAGGTATATCTACCCTGTCTTACGCCTGACTTCAGACTAACATGGCAGACTCTCTGCTCTTGCAGAGTTCCTTGGCTGTGTGCTACCCCAGTTTTAATTTAATGAGCAAAGACTAAAGGCCTTTCATCTGTTTGTGGCTGTAGAGCCAAGGGCTCTGATGCATCCCTGAGGCTGAGTGCTGATCAGTTGACTGGACTGCAAACCAGATGTGCTGGGCACCTGGCTTGCTACTTTCCAGTGATGGGGAATCCTTAAGTCATGATTTCCTTCTTTCCCACCCCCAACCTGGTCCCAGACTCAAGCCTTCTGCTGTGCACGTGTAACATGTCAGTAGGAGTGATTGTTACGATCACAGATCATATGCCACCACAACTTTAACTGAACCTCTTCCAGGGGTCTGAGATCCTGCTTCTATGTAAACTGGACACTGCTTTGAAGTTTCCCATGGTTAATGTGCAAGTGGCCAACATCAAAGAGAAGTTACTACAGTAACAGGAATTCTTTAGATGAATGTTATACATGCACATGTTATAGTCTGCTGACATACTCTTTTGATCAGTCCTTCACATCCTGGAATTCTGTAGTGTAGAGCAGTGATTTTTCAATTGATGTGCCATGAAATGCTCACTGGTATGCCCTGAGAACTTTGGCATCATGAGAAGAATGTTCTTCAGCCACTTAACGCTAATGAATAAGCTGTATTGAGAGATTTGCAGAAGACTCGTGCATGTTTTGGTTGTGGAAGAGAGAGAACCAGCTGTGCACATGGAAATTCATCTACTGCGCATGTGTTGGCTGTGCGGGATGCGCAGTTTGCAAGCCTCATAAACAGCTATGCTGTGGAATTTTGCTGTGGCAACGAGCTCTTAAGTATGGGTATGGGGAATGCCTTAACAGGTGTGCTGCAGAAAATTTTTATTAATGTAAGTGTGCCTTGAACCATAAAAAGTTGAGAGACACTGGTGTAGAGGAAATGTATAAGTATATATTTATCATGTACTTTTATCATGCGTGGTTTTTTTCAAGGCTTCATGGTGTCCAAATTAGAGGTGCCATTCTTGATTAGACTCGGACTACTCTAATGTAGCATTCCTTTCCTAAGAAAATTTCAGTTTTCTTTGCAGAAGTCTCAGGTACTAGGCATAAGAAATTCAATGTAGATTAAAGCCCATATGTGTAGTGTATATAACAGCATTACAAAAAGCAGCTACAGACCACATACTTAATTATTCAACTTTTCTATCAACTGTCAGAACCAAATTCTTTAGGAATATTAGTACTGCCACAGAAGTCTTGTTTTCTTACAAAATAAAGAAACTAATTGGCAATCGAGATATGAATTAAACAAATTTTAGTCTGGCAGAAGACTGAATGTCATGTATCAAGTTCTGGCAAGCCTACATTCTGTCCCTGCATACCTGCAAGAGACATAATTTATACAATATTGAACCATAGAAAATTAGGGTTGAAAGGCACCTCAGGAGGTCATCTACTCTAATCCCCTGCTCAAAGCAGAACCAGCCCCAACTAGATCATCCCAGCCAAAGCTTTGTCTACCTGTGTCTTAACCTCCAAGGATGGAGAGTCCACAACCTCTCTGGGTAACCTGGTCCAGTGCTTTATTACCCTCCTGCTGAGAGAGTTCCTCCTAATATCTAACCTAAACTTCCCTTGCTGTAACTTGAGACCATTGCTCCTTGTTCTGTCATCTGCCACCACTAGAACAGTCTAGCTCCATTGTCTTTGGAACCACCCTTCAGGTAGTTGAAGGCTGCTATTAAATCCTGCCCTGTCGTCTTCTGCAGACTAAATAAGCCCAGTTCCCTCAACCTCTCCAGAAGTCATGTGCCCCAGCCCCTGAACCACTTTTGTGGCTTTTGCCCTCCATGTCTCTGTCTCTGATTTTGTCCACATCCTTACTCTAGTGGCAGGCCCAAAACTGGACACGGCAGGAGTGACCTGGTGTGGCAGGGAGCACCACTCCACTATGGCTGCCAAACTGAGGTGCCCTCTGCCTACGTGGCAGCAGCAGGGGCACAACTCCATGCTGCTGCTGTTGCACCTCACTTTTTTTAGCTATGGTGGCATGGCGCTCCCTTCTGTATCGGGTCCTGCCCACTAGGTCACTGAGGCGACTGCAGCCTGGAGCTAGTGTGGAAATCTCAGGGGGGAGGGGACACCAGTCCCTTCTGCTCTGTCACCTTGGCCCCCTGTCTCCCTCTGCTGTGTTGCCTCTGCCACATTGACAGTGCCCTCCCCTTCCCCCAACACATTGCTTGTGCCCCCCAGATTCCTGTTTATTGCAACCCCATCTGCTGATGATGTGACCCTATTTTGGATCGCGACTCAATTTGGGAACTGCTGTACAAGGGCTCCATATCTGTTCTCCAGGCATACTGCTGCAGGTGGACATGAAGTTTTCTCCTTGCTGCCAGAGGTCACAAGATTCCACTTTCCTGGGAATCCATGTCCTCTCCCTTCTCTAGTGCTGTCTTTTGGCAGGTCTTCCTCCACAGTCTCAGAGGTCTCCTTCAGCACTGAATCACTGAAGTCTTCGTGGTTGGAGGATGCCTTACTACCTCCTCCTGCATCTCTTGCCTGCTCTCTGAGGAGGCAGCACTCACATTGCAGGCACACTTCCACCTGACTGTCATCAGAAAGAACCTGCAAGCCGCAGTCTCCACAGCACCAAACCAGGACCTGGGTGGATGCCTTGACAGTGAGCGGTCCTGCCTCATGGGTGCAAGCAGAGGCGGTGGTAGTGGCTCTGGCACTGAGACATACTTCCGCCCTTTCTCTGGGTCTCTTGATCTGTCAACTTTCTCTGGCTGCCCTTTTCCCAAGCAGACCTTCCCTAGCAAACTTGCCTGTAAGCTGGCCTGGTCCCGAAAGGTTCCTTTTTCTCTGCTTCCTCTCACCAAGCTTAAAGGCTCCCTTTCAAACTGCTTGCCCTGTTTGCTGCCCCATGTCACTTGCTGTCTGGTTGCTCAAGTTTTGGCTTGTCTGTACTTAAAATGATCCTTGCTTCTTACCCGTAAGATGTACTGATGTGAAGTTTTGATGATCTTTACACTGCCATCACAACAAATGTACTTGAACTTGTCTAAAGGTTTTTTTTTCCCCCCCTTTGTTAGAAAGGTTCGAAAATCCTGCTCTTACTGGAGGCAAAAATGGTCTGAAGTTGATGGTGCTGTGTGTGTGTTTATCTCTAGGACACTTAGTGTAGGTACTATTTGGGGAGTATTTCTTGCATTTTAAAATAAAAACTCAGTAGCTGCTGACGACTAAATTTTTAACATGTAAATAAGTGGAGAAATAAAATAAAAAAAAAAAAATCTGGGGTACTGTTTGCTTATGTAATCGCTTGAGGCAGAAGTGAGATTGAGGAGAGCTAGTTAATTATAGGTCAGCCAGAGCAGGAAATAAGTTAGCCTTATTCTTTTTGCTTCAAGTTAATAATGTTGGCCAAAAGTAGATTATGCTGAATAAGAGTTTACCAGCTTTTTGGAGGATTATTTAAATTAATTGATACAGAACAACCTGGCTAACATTACAGAAACTGCTATAATGTATAAAGTCTGGTTGTCTGGGCATCAGAATTTTAACTATATGTATGGAAACAGCCTGTTAGCTTGTGTGTGGGGTTTTTTTTTTTTTTTTTTTTTTTTTTTTTTTTTTTTTAAATTTTTTTTAAGAAA